AACCCGAATTATTGCAGCACAAAATGAATTCCAAAGGGTGGGGAAAACAGAGTACAGAGGCTTAAAAAAGGAGCGAAGGAAAGCCTATTGCTCAAAAATTGAAGAGTAAAAGCTAACCCCAAAAAGCTCTGGCAACAACTAAAACAGTTGGGGTATACCCATAAGCCAGTAAAGGGTTAACATAGTACTCACTATCGTATGAGGTATGCCACGAAACCAAAGGTGGAAAATTGTTTTAAATTCCCTTAAATCTGTTGCATCAACATAGTAAGTAAACTACCACTGCATCAAATACCTTTAAACAGCTCTGATAATTTTCAAACATTTTTCCCCAAAAAAGGGGAAACCCCCAAACAGTTGTAAATAGTAAGTGTATTCATGACTTCATTCAAAAAGAAAAAGCGGGTTAAAACCCCAACTAAGAGCACAGGCCCGAAAAACATCCCGTCTAAGCTAAAAGATGGGCTTCTGAATGTCATCCCTATTGCTACTAATAAATCTATAAATCACCACTAATCCCGTCCGGGGGGTTTAAAGGAGGCCAGAGTTCCCCTATCTTCAAGAAAAAAAAATAGTCTGATGTAAGCAACTATAGCCTGTTAGTATACTCGTAAATTCTAAAATTTGGAGAGGGCGGTGTATTCTCAAATAGTTGACCTTAAACACAGCATTTCCATGTATCAAACGGGCTTTAGAAGATCCCACTCAACCGATACCCCCCTTTTTAATTTTGTGGATTACCCGAGAACTGAAATGTCAAAAGGGAACCTCATAGGGTTTTAACCTTAGACCTGCAAAAAGGCTTTGATACTGTCAACCACAATATATTTGTAAAAACTTCAAGCTATCGGTATGGTTCTGTAGACTGGTTTAAATCCTCCTTAGAACGGAGATAAATAGTCAAAAAAAACAAAAAGGAATAGAACCCCCGCGATTAAAATTGGGTTCCCCAAGGTAGTATTCTGGGTCCTTACTATTTTTATGTTATGTAATGATTGCCTACAGTGTCAAATGCAAATTTCCCCTGTATGCAGATGACAGTGCCTTTTTATGACTGGTAAAGCCCACAAGAATTCTAATGTTTTAACACTGGAACTGGAGTCCTGCACAAAAGGTTTTGTAGACAACAAACTATCATTACACCCAGGGAAAACTGAAGCCATTCCTTTTGGGAAAGAAACATAAACTGAGAAGGGTTTAAAAAATTTTAATGTTCAGTGTAAAGGGGAGTCCACACTTGGGTTTATCGTAAAAAATTTTGGGAATCCCCTTTTCCCCATGCATGTCAGGAGAAATTTTAGGGAACAGGTAGTAAAAAAAGCGAATGCCAGACTGAAGTTCCTGTATAGACAAACACGTTCACCTACTGAGGCTCGCAGGCCCTTGTCTGCCTTTACAATGCCATATGGGGTTACGTTGTCTTCTGGGACTCTGCCTTTACAAAAAAACTGAAAGATAGACTGCAAATCACCCCGAAAAAATGAAGATTCATCCTGGGGTGGGACCAAGAACATGTAGGCCAGGGGTGAATTTCAGCAGTTGGATATGCTGAAAATTTAAGACAGAGTAAAAAAACTGAAGCTAAATCATGTTTATAAAATTTCTCACAACAGTGTCCAGAATATTGGCTGTCAATTTTTTCAAGGTTGGGGAACCCAAAACAATCATAGTCTAGGGGGAGGGGACAACTTTGTATACCCACAGTCAGGGCAGGCGTCAAACACCTTTTAATTTTACAGCAATAAAAGGGAAAGGAACGCTACCCCCCACGCCAAAGCCATTTTTAGCGGAACCCGTTCAAAAGACTGCCAAAAAGTGTCTGATGAATGTAGCTACAGAAAGGGGGGGGAATGATTTTTCTATTTTTTGCTAAAATACGTGTAAATTTTTTACCCCCGAAACCCCTAGTAATGTTTTTTCCCCCGGGGGGTTTATTTTGGGGAGTAGTTTAATGACCCTCGTGTAGTAGATAGTCTTTTTAGTATGATAATAAAGAGTTATCTTCATTGTTGAATAATAAGAAAAAAAATTTAACCTTAATTAAATAATAAAGGTAAAAGGCCCCAATGGAAATAAGTCACTCTGTCTGGGCTTTTTTTTGGGGTTTTCCCGGGTTTTCTAACATTGTGCTAGTTGATAATTCTAGTAACTGTATTTGTGTAACCTGAATAAATTTAAAATTATTTTTTTACTTACTATCTGTTACTGAAGGGCAGTGGGATACCTGTGTGTAGGTCGTGGTAGTACCCGTTACTGTAGGTCAGTGGTGTACCTGTTTTTGTAGGTCAGTGGGAGTACCTGTTACTGTAGGTCGTGGTGTACCTTGTTTCTGTTTTTGTAGGTCAGTGGGAGTACCTTGTGTTGTTATTTTAGGTCAGTTGTATCCTTGTGTCTGTTATGTAGGTCGTGGTAACCCTTTTGTTTATTGAGGTCAGTGGTAGTACCTTGGTCTGTTATTGTAGGTCAGGGAAATACCTTGTATCGTTACGTAGGTCTGGTGTACCCCTTTTGTTGTTATTGTAGGTCTGGTAGTACCTTGTGTCTGTTTCTGTAGGCAGTGGTAGTACCTTGTGCTGTTAATTTTAGTCAGTGGTAGTACCTTTTTGTCTCTTATTGTAGGCAGTGGTAGACCTTGTGTTGTTATTGTAGGGCAGTGGTAGTTCCTTGTGTCTGTTTTGGTAGGACAGTGGTAGTACCCTTTTGTCTGTTATTGTAGGTCAGTGGTAGTACCTTGTGTCTGTTTCTTAGGCAGTGGTAGTACCTTGGGGTCTGTTATTGTAGGTCAGTGGTAGTACCTTGTGTCTGTTTCTGTTGGACAGTGGTAGTTTCCTTGTGTCTGTTACTGTAGGTCAGTGGTAGTACCTTGTGTTGTTATTGTAGGTCAGTGTAGTACCTTGTGTCTGTTACTGTAGGACAGTGGTAGTACTTGTGTCTGTTATTGTAGGTCAGTGGTAGTACCTTGTGTCTCTTACTGTAGGTCAGTGGTAGTACCTTGTGTCTCTTATTGTAGGTCAGTGGTAGTACCTTGTGTCTGTTTCTGTAGGACAGTGGTAGTACCTTGTGGGCTCTTATTGTAGGTCAGTGGTAGTTACCTTGTGTCTCTTATTGTAGGTCAGTGGTAGTACCTTGTGTCTCTTATTGTAGGTCCCGTGGTAGTACCTTGTTGTCTCTTATTGTAGGTCAGTGGTTGTACCTTGTTCTGTTATTGTAGGTCATGGTAGTACCTTGTGTCTGTTATTGTAGGTCAGTGGTTTGTACCTTGTGTCTCTTATTGTAGGTCAGTGGTAGTACCTTGTGTCTCTTATTGTAGGTCAGTGGTAGTACCTTGTGTCTGTTATTGTAGGTCAGTGGTAGTACCTTGTGTTGGTCTGTAGGTCAGTGGTTGCACCTGTTGTTACTGTAGGTCTGTGGTAGTTAACCTTGTGTTGTTACTGTAGGTCAGTGGTAGACCTTGTGTCTGTACTGTGGTCAGTGATAGTACCTTGTGTCTGTTACTGTAGATCAGTGGTAGTACCTTGTGTCTGTTACTGTAGGTCAGTGGTTGCACCTTGTCTGTTACTGTAGGTCAGTGGTAGTACCTGTTACTGTAGGTCAGTGGTAGTACCCTGTGTCTGTTACTGTAGGTCAGTGGTAGTGCCCTGTGTCTGTTGCTGTAGGTCAGTGGTAGTACCTTGTGTTTTACTGTAGGTCAGTGGTAGTACCTGTGTATCTGGTACTGTAGGTCAGTGGTAGTACCTTGTATCTGGTACTGTAGGTCAGTGGTAGTACCTGTTACTGTAGGTCAGTGGTAGTACCTGTTACTGTAGGTCAGTGGTAGTACCTGTTACTGTAGGTCAGTGGTAGTACCTTGTATCTGGTACTGTAGGTCAGTGGTAGTACCTTGTGTTTTACTGTAGGTCAGTGGTAGTACCTGTTGCTGTAGGTCAGTGGTAGTACCTTGTTCTGTTATGTTGGTTAGTGGAAATACCTTGTCTGTTATGTAGGTCAGTGGTAGCCCTGTTACTGTAGGTCAGGGGTTTGTACCTTTTTACTGTAGGTCAATGGTAGTACCTGTTACTGTAGGTCAGTGGTAGTACCTTGTCTGTTACTGTAGGTCAGTGGAATTACCTTGTGTCTGTTACTGTAGGTCAGTTGTAGCACTTGTCTGTTACTGTAGGTCATGGTAGTACCTTGTTCTGTTATTGTAGGTCAGTGGTATTACCTTGTGTCTTTTACTGTAGGTCAGTGGTAGCCCCTTGTCTGTTACTGTAGGTCAGTGGTAGACCTTGTGTTTATTACTGTAGGTCAGTGGTATTCCCTTTGTGTCTGTTACTGTAGGTCAGTGGTAGCACCTGTCTGTTATGTAGGTCAGTGGTAGTACCTGTTGCTGTAGGTCAGTGGTAGTACCTGTTATGTAGGTCAGTGGTAGTACCTTGTGTCTGTTACTGTAGGTCAGTGGTAGAAACCTTTTATCTGTTACTGTAGGTCAGTGGTAGTACCTTGTGTCTGTTATTGTAGGTTTCAGTGGTAGTAACCTTGTGTCTGTTATTGTAGGTCAGTGATAGTACTTGTGTCTGTTATTGTAGGTCAGTGGTAGTACCTTGTATCGGGTACTGTAGGTCAGTGGTAGTACCTTGTGTCTGTTACTCTAGGTCAGTGGTAGTACCTGTTTTTGTAGGTCGTGGTAGTACCTTTGTTCGTTACTGGGTAGTGGTAGTACTTGTGTTTGTTATTGTACTTCAATGGTAGTCCTTGTGTCTGGGGCCCAAACTTATCGCTCACAGTTTCTGTTGAGCTGAGCTATGGCATTATTAGGGGAGCGACACTGGTTTAAAAACCCGGGTGGGACTGACACCAAAGGGGTTAAGAATGATATAATCATTTTTTTGCCCTGTTATATGGAATGTTTTCATATAGTTTTAAATTATGTTTAGGAAGGCAGGTAATAATCTAATTATTTTTTTTAAAATCCATTGGATGTTGGGGATTTGTTAAAATTAATATATTTTATTGCTCAATAGGGGTGCCCCCAGACTTGAAGAGTGCTGGTGTAGGTGAGAGGGGTGCTGGGTGGGTGCGCCCTGTGGTGGTCAGCGCCTGGGTGGCTCAGCCCTGGCTCAAGTTACTTCAGCTGGGTTGTGAATGTCCTGACGTTGACCTCCATGAAATTTGCTTTTGTTGCAGCATTCCTGAAATTTCACAGCTCATTGATGGTCAGTAAAAAATGTTTATTTTAAATGATAAAGGTTTATTATGAGAGACCCCAGAAAATTTTTTTAAACAGAGTGAACTAAAATTTAAGTTTTTAAAGTTTTTTTAAACAAGCTTTTTTCCCAAATTGCATGAAATAATATTGTTCTTATTTTATTTAATATTTGTGGGGCTGGTGTGTTTGGGGGCTTGATCTAAAAGTTATTTGCCATTATTTTGTCTTTCCTTTTTCCCCAATTCGTCTTTCACCCCCTTTTTTCCCTTCCCCTTTTATTATTTTCCCTTCACCGTTTTATTTTGTTTTACCTCTGATGATAGTTTACTCATCTTACACAAAGGTTTTTAATGTCAAGAATGGCTTTGAGCAACACTCCAAAAACCCCCATTGACCTACCATTTTTTTTCATTGTCCGTGCTGGGATGTTTTAACTTAAAATTTGCATCTATAGTGGCACTGTTACTTTGGAAGGTAGTACCATACAAGATAGTTGCATGTTGCATCTATAGTGGCACTGTTACTCTAGTAGGTAGTACCATACAAGACACTTCTATATTACATCTACAGTGGCACTGTTACTCTGGAAGGTGGTACCATACAAGACAGTTTTATGCTGCATCTATAGTGGCACTGTTACTCTGGATAGTAGTACCATACAAGACAGTTGTATGTTACATTTATAGTGGCACTGTTACTCTGGAAGGTAGTACCATACAAGAAAGTTGTTTGTCACATTTATAGTGGCACTATTACTCTGGAAGGTAGTACTATACAAGACAGTTGTATGATGCCTCTAATTTCAGTGTTGTTACTCTGGAAGGTGGTACCATACAAGGCAGTTGCAGGTTGCATCTAGAGTAGCAGTGTTGCTACTCTGGAAGGTGGTACCAGAATAAAAAATAAGTGTTGGTAAGATAAAAATATGCCCTAGTGTAGTGAATGATTTTACAGGCTTTAGATCAGTGGAAAGTCAAGTTCAGGAAATTGTTGACTTTTCAAGGAGAGTGCCAGGTGAGGGATTTGAAAATATGCAGCCAGATGACATCAGTGATCTCTTGATAATGATAATGATGAATGAATTGTAGAGGAAAAGTTGCAGAAATTAAATTCATGGCTGCAGAAAACAGAATATGATGAAGATAAAGAAGTTGAGCCTGAAAGAGTAATGCTGACACTGCTAGAGATGCATGTCCCTCCATAATGTCAGTAAAGCTGCAGACTTGTTTATTGAAAAGAACCATGACTCACCTTGAAGCATTGCTGTAAAGCACGTTCTGGAGCAGGAACCTGGGACTTATTGTCTACTTTATAAAGAACTGCAGGATAAAACAAACCAGCAGTGCACGACTGAGTACCTGAGTACTCCACTGCAACCATCAACTGATGAAGCTGCATCACCATCACTAGAGTCCCAACCTTCAACATCACTAGAGTCCCAACCCTCAACATCGACCCAGTAGGGCCACAGCCATCCTCTCCACTCACTTTAAGATGCCTTGCATTCTATGGATTAAGTGTAGGAAACTACCCATTCATCTATTTCAACTCGTCTATAAAGTGATTAGTAATTGGTAATTTGACAGTTTCACACCAAATTAAAAATTGCCAATTTAAAAATAGTTCATAATAAACAATGTAGACATTGCTGGCACTAAAAAAATTCCACAGTTCAGTGGTCACATCCTCAGGCTTCTCCTATATTACACTTACTTTTCATTTTCAGTTCTTATTCATACACAGAAGATTTACTCCTTTTTTCAGATTATATATAATTATAGGGGGATAAGTCTGCTGAGTATACCTGGTAAAGTGTATGGTTGAGTTATTATTGAAAGAATTAAGAGTAAGACGGAGAATAGGATAGGAGATGAACAAGGAGGCTTTAGGAAAGGTAGGGGGTGTGTGGACCAGGTGTTTACAGTGAAACATATAAGTGAACAGTATTTAGATAAGGCTAAAGAGGTCTTTGTGGCATTTATGGATTTGGAAAAGGCATATGACAGGGTGGATAGGGGGAGCAATGTGGCAGATGTTGCAAGTGTATGGTGTAGGAGGTAGGTTACTGAAAGCAGTGAAGAGTTTTTACGAGGATAGTGAGGCTCAAGTTAGAGTATGTAGGAAAGAGGGAAATTATTTCCCAGTAAAAGTAGACCTTAGACAAGGATGTGTGATGTCACCGTGGTTGTTTAATATATTTATAGATGGGGTTGTAAGAGAAGTAAATGCGAGGGTCTTGGCAAGAGGCGTGGAGTTAAAAGATAAAGAATCACACACAAAGTGGGAGTTAAACCATACCCCCGGCCGGGATTGAACCCGCGGTCATAGAGTCTCAAAACTCCAGCCCGTCGCGTTAGCCACTAGACCAGCTAGCCACAATAAGATTCATCCAACTAGGTATATTTCTACACCATAGGAAAGTTAGCACAGGCACCTCTGTGACCACAAATGCAAGTTTTTACAGATGAATCTCCAGCTAGCGTGGCCGTGACGAACTCTAGCTCAAGTCCCTTCACTGCCGTCAACATGACTTAAGAAATCGTAATGACACGATTGCAAATAAACCATACCCCCGGCCGGGATTGAACCCGCGGTCATAGAGTCTCAAAACTCCAGCCCGTCGCGTTAGCCACTAGACAGCTAGCCACAATAAGATTCATCCAACTAGGTATATTTCTACACCATAGGAAAGTTACACAGGCACCTCTGTGACCACAATGCCAAGTTTTACAGACGAATCTCCAGCTAGCGTGGCCGTGACGAACTCTAGCTCAAGTCCCTTCACTGCCGTCAACATGACTTAAGAAATCGTAATGACACGATTGCAAATAAACCATACCCCCGGCCGGGATTGAACCCGCGGTCATAGAGTCTCAAAACTCCAGCCCGTCGCGTTAGCCACTAGACCAGCTAGCCACAATAAGATTCATCCAACTAGGTATATTTCTACACCATAGGAAAGTTAGCACAGGCACCTCTGTGACCACAAATGCAAGTTTTTACAGACGAATCTCCAGCTAGCGTGGCCGTGACGAACTCTAGCTCAAGTCCCTTCACTGCCGTCAACATGACTTAAGAAATCGTAATGACACGATTGCAAATAAACCATACCCCCGGCCAGGATTGAACCCGCGGTCATAGAGTCTCAAAACTCCAGCCCGGCCACGCTAGCTGGAGATTCGTCTGTAAAAACTTGCATTTGTGGTCACAGAGGTGCCTGTGCTAACTTTCCTATGGTGTAGAAATATACCTAGTTGGATGAATCTTATTGTGGCTAGCTGGTCTAGTGGCTAACGCGACGGGCTGGAGTTTTGAGACTCTATGACCGCGGGTTCAATCCCGGCCGGGGGTATGGTTTATTTGCAATCGTGTCATTACGATTTCTTAAGTCAAGTTAAAGTGGGAGTTGTCACAGCTGCTCTTTGCTGATGACACTGTGCTCTTGGGAGATTCTGAAGAGAAGTTGCAGAGATTGGTGGATGAATTTGGAAGGGTGTGCAAAAGAAGAAAATTAAAGGTGAATACAGGAAAGAGTAAGGTTATGAGGATAACAAAAAGATTAGGTGATGAAAGATTGAATATCAGATTGGAGGGAGAGAGTATGGAGGAGGTGAATGTATTCAGATATTTGGGAGTGGACGTGTCAGCGGATGGGTCTATGAAAGATGAGGTGAATCATAGAATTGATGAGGGGAAAAGTGTGAGTGGTGCACTTAGGAGTCTGTGGAGACAAAGAACTTTGTCCTTGGAGGCAAAGAGGGGAATGTATGAGAGTATAGTTTTACCAACGCTCTTATATGCTCTTATATGGGTGTGAAGCATGGGTGATGAATGTTGCAGCGAGGAGAAGGCTGGAGGCAGTGGAGATGTCATGTCTGAGGGCAATGTGTGGTGTGAATATAAGGCAGAGAATTCGTAGTTTGGAAGTTAGGAGGAGGTGCGGGATTACCAAAACTGTTGTCCAGAGGGCTGAGGAAGGGTTGTTGAGGTGGTTTGGACATGTAGAGAGAATGGAGTGAAACAGAATGACTTCAAGAGTGTATCAGTCTGTAGTGGAAGGAAGGCGGGGTAGGGGTCGGCCTAGGAAAGGTTGGAGAGAGGGGGTAAAGGAGGTTTTGTGTGCGAGGGCTTGGACTTCCAGCAGGCATGCGTGAGCGTGTTTGATAGGAGTGAATGGAGACAAATGGTTTTTAATACTTGACGTGCTGTTGGAGTGTGAGCAAAGTAACATTTATGAAGGGGTTCAGGGAAACCGGCAGGCCGGACTTGAGTCCTGGAGATGGGAAGTACAGTGCCTGCACTCTGAAGGAGGGGTGTTAATGTTGCAGTTTAAAAACTGTAGTGTAAAGCACCCTTCTGGCAAGACAGTGATGGAGTGAATGATGGTGAAAGTTTTTCTTTTTCGGGCCACCCTGCCTTGGTGGGAATTGGCCAGTGTGATAATAATAAAAAAAAAAAATATATAACCAGGAAAGATTTATCATACTTTACAGCATCCCAGTAATTGAATCAGACCTATTAAAAACCCATAAAACAGACTAAGGGTTGTAGGGGGGCCTTACCCATCCTCTGGAATATAGACAGCATTCAAATAATTCTTCTACTCTGAGCTCAAGTTCAAGCTACTTTCAGTCCTGAAACCAGTAATATGTCTTCCAGTCAATCAAATGATACCAAGAAACAGTCAATCAATCCATAAAAACCATTTGAGAAAATACTGCAAAGTCACTGTTTTAAACCATCCACAGTCAGTCTTGTTTATTCCATCATGCACTGCATGGGGCAGGATTTTCTTTTTATATGGTGCACACTCACTGCACAGACCCATTCTCTTATATCTAGACCAAAATATACAGTTCACAGCTTATCTGACTGAGCTGAGCTCTTGACATAGAACTATTTGAGGTACCCTGAGCTCAATGACATAGTTAATGTAGGAGGGTAGACAGTAAAAGTGTTAACTCATGAAGGGTTGTGTACATTTTAATGTACAGAACTTGATGCATTGTTTATACAGGAGTGACACTTGAATGCATGCAGAAAGCCCATCATCATTATGCAGAGCATTTCTGGCAAACACTGAATGACTTCTTTTGTCCAGCATTATGTAGATCCCACAACTCCTTACTTCTCCCCTTCCCTTTCCAACCCCTTTTCTTTTCTTCCCTTATCCCTGTGCTATATACATAACCACTGAATCATCCATCAGTCCCAGTATGTAATAACTGTTAAAATAAGAGCATTAAGACTGCTGTTAGTATAACATAAGTGAGTCTTGGCATGCACTTGTCACCAGAGGGTTTGGTGTTGGCCTTGCATGATGTGAGTGATGGAGGTTTGGTCACCTGCTTGCTGGAGATGGCTATTGCTGGCTGGGCCGGCTTCATGGTTGACCTTCCTCCACCACCAGCTCCACTACCCTCTGCTATGGATAGAGCTCCACCTCTTCTTGCTGCACTATTTAGTGAGGAAGTTGGGTGAGTTAAGAACTTCTATTGTTTGCACTACCACCTTTAACCCTTAAACTGTCCAAACATAGATCTACATCCATGTGCGGGGAAGCTCTGAACGTAGATCTATGTTTTTTTTTACATGCTTTCAAATGGGGAAAACCAAGGTCGGAGCGCTACGCACGTGAACATAGATTTACGTTTGGACAGTTTAAGGGTTAAACAAACAAATAAACTTTATTTCTATAAAGTGGAGTACACTGTGTACTACAATTAAGGTAATTGATATATACAGTTGATCCTTGAACAATGCAGGGGTTAGGGGCCCTGACCTACTTCTTAGTCGAAAATTCACGTATAACTTTTGACTCCCCAAAAACTTAACTACTAATAGCCTACTGTTATGTTATGTGTATTATATACTGTATTCTTAAAATAAACTAAGCTAGAAAAAAAATGTTAAGAAAATCATTAAGAAGAGAAAATTCATTTATACTACTGTACTGTATTTTTTGATATCATAAGTTTACATTGTCTGTTTACAAGATGAATCGTCTGTCAGTATCTACATCAGTATTGTCTTATATGATACAAAACACTCTGGATGTTATACATATTACTAACACTAGACATCAGAAATGAGAAGATTTATATTTACATGATTTATATTTTATATTTATATAATTTAATACTGCATCTTTGTTTACATTTCACTAGACTGCTATTGGCCTCGTGTACGACTGGTAAGTATTTGTGTGTGTAAGTTTAAATAAGTTTTAACTTGTAGGGATATATTAATAGATTTGTTTATGTTATGGTAGTAAATGATAAAATAAGACTAGAATATACATATATTTTATGCGTTCATGACATACCTAACTTTTTCTATTTTTTTTTTTTTTTATATTTCTAGGCCACGTGGTTTGTCTGCAAGTTTTTTCAAATTGTTGCAGATGTCCAAAAAATTTTCCAATATATTTATTGAAAAAATCCACATGTAAGCGCAGCTGTACAGTTCAAACCCGTGTTGTTCAAGGGTTGACTGTGTAAACTATAGAAAGGCCCCTTTTTATGTAAGGCATTTCAGAGAGCTTTAAAACTAAACTGAGATTACAAGTACAGTGGACCCCTGAGTTTTGTGATTAATCCGTTCCAGAGAGTCTGTTGAATGACGAAATTGCCGAATGGCGAAACCATTTTTCCCATAAGAAATAATGGAAATAAAATTAATCCGTTCCAGACACCCAAAAATATTAAAAAAAAAAAAGTTAAAATTAAATAAAGATTTACATACAGAAAACAATGAGAAATAAAGTACATACATATATAAAATAATAACATCATTACACTTGCCTTTATTGAAGACTTCTGGGTGGACGGAAGACGGGAGGAGGGGATAGGAGGAAGGTGTACACTATTGTTTGGAAGGGGAATCCCCTTCCATAAAGACTTCAGGTACCAAGTCCTTATCTGGGGTTACTTCCCTTCTTTGTTTTTTTAATGACACTGGGAACAACTTGAGAGTCACTGGACCCCTGTCGCACAGAATATCTGTCCAGAGAGCTCTGTTTCTGGCATTTCTTTAAGATTTGTCTGAAGTGGGACACAACACTGTCATTGTACATGTTGCCAACACGGCCTGCAACAACTCTGTCAGGGTGAAGTTCATCCATAAATAATTGCACTTCAGTCCACTTTGCACAAATGTCCTTAATCTTTGAAGAAGGCACCTTCCTCCATCTCTCTTCCTTCTCCTCTGCAGCAATTTCCTGAGCTGTGATCTCTTGCTGTTGCAGATGAAGCTCTTCCAGCTCTGCAGTGGTTAGCTCTTCATCGTGGTCCTCCACCAACTCTTCCACATCCTTGAAACTCGCATCCAACCCCATGGAATTCCTCAGTGACAATACTTTCCACAACTGGCATAGGCTTCTTAGGGTCAGCCCCAAACCCTTCAACCCTTGTACACACTGTGGCCACACTTTTCTCCAAGCAGAATTCAAAGTTCTACAATTCACTCCTTCCCAAGCTTTGCCTATAAGGTTTATGCAAGTGAGGATATTGAAGTGATCTTTCTAGAACTTTCTTAGGGTCAGTTCAGTATTTGAGGTCACTTCAAAGCACTTTTGAAACACTGCTTTGGTGTACAGTTTTTGGAAGTTTGAAATGACCTGCTGGTCCATGGGCTGGAGGAGAGGAGTTGTATTAGGGGGCAAGAACTTCACCGTGATGAAACTAAACTCCTCCACCATTTGCTCTTCCAAGTCTGGAGGATGAGCAGAAGTATTGTCCATTACCAGGAGGCACTTGAGTGGCAGTTTATTTTCCAGGAGGTATTTCTTCACACTGGGGCCAACCACTTCATTAAACCAGCCTAGGAAAATTTCCCTTGTGACCCATGCCTTACTGTTAGCCTTCCACATCACACACAAATTACTCTTGGCAACACTGTTTTTCTTGAACATTCTGGGATTTTCAGAGTGATACACCAGTAAAGGTTTCACTTTGCAATCCCCACTAGCATTACTACAAAACATGAGAGTTAGCCTGTCTTTCATAGGCTTGTGTCCTGGGAGTGCTGTTTCCCCCTGCGTGATGTAGGTCCTCTTTGGCATTTTCTTCCAAAAGAGGCCTGTTTCGTCACAATTGAACACTTGTTGGGGTTTGAATTCTTCAGTGTCTGTGTACTCCTTAAACTCCTGTACAAACTTCTCAGCAGCTTTTTTGTCAGAACTGGCAGCCTCACCATGCCTTACCACACTGTGTATGCCACTATGCTTCTTAAATCTCTCAAACCAACCTTTGCTGGCCTTAAAATAAGCATCACCACTCGTTGCAGGCATTTTCTTTACGAGATCGTCATGCAACTGCCTTGCCTTTTCGCATATTATCAACTGCATAATACTATCTCCTGCTAACTGTTTTTAAGTAATCCACACCAACAATAACCTTTCCACTTCTTCGAGGGTTTGCGATCTCTGTTTTGTCAGCATATCTACCCCTTTTGCAACAACAGCACACTTTATTCCCTTTCCCTTCGTCATGATCGAAGTGATGGTTGAATGGGGTTTGCCATACATCCTGGCAAGTTCTGTAATACGCACTCCATTCTTATATTTTTCAGTGATTTCCTTCTAGAATTCGCTCGTGTTCCTCACTTTCTTTACCAAAGAGCTGACACTAGCTTTCCTTGGGCCCATGGTGACTTATTTAGCAGTTGCAAGCACAAAAAAAATAGATTATTATGAAATGTATTGTATGAACCCATGAGGTGATGGTCACACACTGGTAAACACTGGCACACTGAGTGTGAATAGTGCGGGAGACTGGCTTTGTGTGCGTGCTGACAGGCGGACACGTACCAGACGGTCACCAAATCATGCCGAAAAAACTTGCCGAAAGTCGGATTTCATGAAAGTCGCAGCCGCTGAACGGCGGGGGTCCACTGTATATGAGAATAAGGATACTTAACCCTTCCAGGGTGGGTCCCATAGTACTACCCCATGAGCTCAGCTCACTTAGATAAATTGTGAGAGGTAAATTTGTGCCTAAATATGAAAGAATGGGTCTGTTTTAAGTATGCATCATATAAAAAAATCCTACAGCACGCAGTGCACAATGGGGGAAAAACTATGACCGTATTTTTGGTTTAAAATGGTGAATTTGCGGTGCTGTTTCGTATGGTTTTTATGGTTGTATTCTCGGTTTCTTGGTATTGTTTGATAGAATGGAGGATATAGATATAGATATCATTTTGATTGGTTTTAGGACTGAAAAAAAGTAGCTTAAAATTTAGTTCAAAGTACCAGAAATGTTCGATTTTTACCGATATTCCAGAGTGCAGAAATTACGTCACTAGTCTAATACATGTCCAACTTTTGGTCTGATATGCATTATTTATACAGTTATTATGATAATGCAATGTTCTTTAAAACAGTCACTCTTCTATTTTTAATATTAATAAAAATTCAAAATAGAAACTAAAGAATAATTATTTTACTTCTTTGCAAATGTTAGTGTGTAATTAAATTTTGGTTTGTTAAGTACAAAGAAAGTCACTATCGTGCAGGGGCATTTCGGGCAGACTAATCCTAGTACATAATAACCACTCTTTAATAAGAGTGGTTAACTTTTTAATAAGTTTTTATTTTATCTTATTACTAATATTAGATAGTCAAGGTGGAGGTATATAAGAATAATATTCCTGAAGTTGCACATAATAAAAGCAATATTATAATTAATGGTTCAAACAGTAATATTTCATGGATTGGCAGATGTTTAACCCTTTAACTGTCGGTGCCGTAATATTACGGCTTGCAAGCCAGTGTTGCTGCCATAATATGCCAAAATACTATTGGCTTCCAATCATGCAGAAGAATACTGGTAGGCCTACATATGAGAGAATGGGTCTGAGTAGTCAGTGTGCACAGTATAAAAAAAAATCTTGCAGCATGCAGTGCATAATGAGAACAAAAAACTCCGACTGAGTTTTTGGTTTAACCCTTTCAGGGTCCGTCCTGTAGATCAACAGCTTTACATTGAGTGTCCAAACTGTAGATCTACGCCAAAATTCTAGCGCCGTCAAATTTAGCACGAAAACGCTCATAGGCCTACATGTGAGAGAACGGGTCTGCATGGTGGGTGTGCGCCATAAACAAAAAATCTAGGCGCCCGCTTAGCATTGTGGGAACGCCGGCTCAGTTACCCTTGTTCACCATGCCTCGTCGCAAGTCAGCTCTCACTCCCCGGAAAATTGGGACTCTCCTCTTCCTATCTGATAGTTCTGACACTGATGGAAGTGGAAATGAAGACGAATTCTACGGCTTTGATCAGTTAGTGACCGAAAAGAATGACCAGGATATCGATAATAGTGCAGAAAACCCTGACGATCCTCAACCTTCTACCTCTGGTGTGGGCACTCGTGACTCACGGTCGGTTGTTCCTCATCGCAAGAGAAAACTAATATTTTCGCGTGGCCAGGCCTCTGACTTCAGTAATGATGATGGTAGTGACGTGGACTGTGATTTTAT